ACTGTCGAAATAATTTATTTTTACACGACTTCCTCTACTTGTAGCACTGATACGACTTCAAGAGTTACTTCAAGATCCTTTGGTGCAAGAAAAAAAGCGCAAAGTGCTGGTGAAGCAGCTTGTTCCAGGCCAGGAATACCGAAAGCTATTGAAGGAAATAGGAAGAGCAGGAGTGCAAAATGTTATTGTAGATGTGCCGACAGAAAACATAATCCGTTTCCTCAGACACGTGAGTTTTACCGTTTGTTTATAGTTAACACTAAGTTGATTAGGAAATATTAGGCCAGTAACAGATTAGTGAGTACTATATATAGTATGTGATGATGTTCAGCAATATCACTCAAGTAAACCAAGAGGTGACTCAAACAAACTTAGTCACCAATTCAAGTAAATCAAATTCAGATCTTACGCTACTTAATCACCGATTCAAGTAATTCTTGTGAATATGCAGAGAGGTAAGTATGTTATATTAAAATGATTTTGAATATACAAATCAGCAAGTCACATAACAACCACAGTCGATATAAAGTCTCAGTGGAACGACATGTATCAGAACTACATTTTGATATTGTTTGATATTGCGTAGGTAGTGCGATGCCACAAAAAACTGATCGCTTTCGGATGTAAAACGTTTATACACTCAGATCACAAATGTGTGTTCCGATTGGGGGTTTAGAGCTTTCAAGATGGAGATATTCATTTTACTCGCATCACCAAGACCATCTAGAAAGATACCTGCAACAAGTCGTATCCGAGCTGTGATAAGCCAAGTATCTTGTAACAGGTGAGAAAATCCACGAACCATAAAGTCAGTGACAAATGCCGTTCACGTGACCCAGGCAACAGTGTGTAGCATAATAAAGAAATATACCATCTGAAAAAGCGACACAGGATGTACAGAGTTTGCTTTCACGACGTATCTGGGAAAGGAAGACAAACTATAAAGAAAATTTCTATGAACAGCCTAGCCGTGGAAAAAGTATATGTTGCCATTGATAACTGCAACAAGTCCCATACTATTTTCCACCAGTCAATGGATGAAAGAAATTTGCAAATGTCTTACGCGACATGTCGCGAAAGCTTTTCGAAAGGATTAATGGTCATCGTTGGATAATGGGCCACGTGCAACTGAGGAAAAAGTGGTTACAATGGTCAATATTAACTCTGCGTACTATCATACCAGTGATCTGAGCCCTATGTACCTCACAAAAATACTGGTTTGTACGGAAACGGTGCCAAAATGGTATGGCTTTACTATTATAAGGCTTCCTTTCAACCGTCACATACCTGAAGCAGCAGGAGAAAGAAATGGATATTCATGCTATTTCATACGAAAACATATCTATCAAGTTGCCAGACGCAGCGCTTATGTATTTATGTGCGATTGGACTGTAGAAATGGACGCTGGAAAAACCTAGTGTACATCAGATGGATTATAGAAGGCAAGCAGAGAAGAGTGACGTGCTTTCGACATAACAGCCACAGGATGGGGCCTTTTTCAATGGAAATTACGCTTCAGAACTATCGTATACGCAAATTTAGTCCATATTTAAAAGTATTCAGAAGGTACTTTGGGAAAAGATAGCCATTTGAGATGAAATAATTAAGTCTTTTCGGCAGCTTTAACAAGCTAGGTCAGGCAAACGTAGTAGTTCAAGTAAGTTGTGTGATGAATATATACACATACGTATATAATTTAAGTACAAAAAGGTACCTCTTGATTCATATAGCCCATCCCATCCACTAAACTAGACTTTAAAATAAAACCCTCAAGGCCAGCTTTATCAATCAAATATTTATCAAGTTTTCCATTAAACTCAGACAAATTAACTGCACTTACAATATTTGAATGCAACCCATTATAAAGGCCAATCATCATGTTAGAAAAATAAAGCTGTGTTAGCTAATGATGATACCTACCCTGCTAAAACGTATACTTGTGTCCCCTAGTCTTGCCATTTTCATCATTAAGTACAGCCCCCAGTGGCACAGCGGTATGTTTGCGGACTTACAACGCTAGAATCCGGGTTTCGATACCCGTGGTGGG